CCCGCGCCCGGGGAGCAGGGGGTCTGGGCTCAGCTCTCAGCTCAGTGACCCGGAGCCCCACCCCTCAGCCCCGGGGGATGAGCTTCGCCAGCCCCTGAACGGTCTGCCCCGGCTGAGTTCAATGCCCAAGGGTCTGCCCTCTCCCCCGCTGGATCTGCGTGCCTGCCCCACCTGGGATTACTGGCAGTGGGCACCACATGGACAAACAACCCCAGGGGGGGGTCTGGGCTCAGCTCTCAGCTCAGTGACCCGGAGCCCCACCCCTCAGCCCCGGGGGATGAGCTTCGCCAGCCCCTGAACGGTCTGCCCCGGCTGAGTTCAATGCCCAAGGGTCTGCCCTCTCCCCCGCTGGATCTGCGTGCCTGCCCCACCTGGGATTACTGGCAGTGGGCACCACATGGACAAACAACCCCAGGGCATCATCCCAGACACGCCACCCCGTGGGAGGGTGGGAGCTCACCTCCACCCCCCACCCGTCACACAGCCTGGCCCTCCATCCAGCTCTAGAGCCGGGTATCTCCCGAGGTGCCCCCTGCAGCCCGAGGGGGCAAGAAGTGAGCAGCAGAAGAGATGGCCAGAGAGGATAAAGATCCTTGGAGGGCTGCCGGGTGCCAGGCCTCACCTGTTCCTGGCACCCGGACCTCGGGGCTGCGTGGCCTTGCCCGTGAGCCCGCGGTGGAACCCAGGGACAAAGCTGTGTCAGGGCCCCGCAGTGGCTGTGCTTGGGGTGGGCAGCCACTTCCTACTGTGGGTCTGGTTCTTCCCGGGCGTTGGGGATTCTCTCTCCAGGCATGCGGAAAACGGAGCAGCACCAAGCCCCAGGGTTCTGCTTTAGGCCCGGCTCCTAGGGATCCACGCACTGCCCTGCCCCATCCCCTCTCAGACGCACTCCCCACTTCCCTGGGTGAGACTGCCCACGTATAGGAGGGGGGACTTTCCTTCAGAGCAGGGCTGCTAAGCAGGCCTCCGCAGTGTCCCTTAGTCAGCAGGGAAACCCCTTTCCCCAGCACTTGACTCTTGAGTTTTCTATTAATCATTTGACCACCCTCTCCTCCACCGTTTTACCAGATATTCATCTTTGATCTAAGCCAGGGGTTTTCAAACAACGGCTCACACCCCAGCACTGAGTGTTGCTGCTGCAGGGGGATCAGGTGAGCCGTGGGGGGGGGGAGGCTAAGGCAGCTCCCTGCCTGGCCTGGCCCCACAGACTGCGCTGCACCCCAGCAGTGGCCAACGGCAGGCCCGGTTCCTAAGTGGGGGGAGCACACAGGGCTCCGTGTACTGCCCCTGCCCCGAGCACTAGCCCCACACTCCCCCTGGCTGGGAACCTGCTGCTGGGGACTTCTGGAGGCAGCATGGTCTGCAGGGCCAGGACAGGCAGGAAGCTGCCTTAGCTCCGCCGCTGCACCTCTGGCTGGGACCTGCACAAGCTAAGCCCCTCCTGCCCTAGCTCTGACTCCCCCTCAAAGCTGGAGCCCCTTCCTGCACCCCAAAGCTCCCAACCTCAGCCCCACGCTGGAGCCCACACTCCAGTCACATGATGGTGGGTCGTGGCATCAACGATTTTCTTCAACTGGGTCACGAGGAAAAAAGTTTGAACCCCGCTGCTCTAAGCCATCTGCGGAGCTGCTGCCACGCTCCCCCTAGCCGCAGCCCGGAGAACTACAACAGCTGCTGCTATTTCACCAAGTAAGGGAGCGGGACTCAGCGTGCTACGACTTTGCACTTTTATAGCACTTTTCCTCCACCAATCACAGAGCACTTCAGGGGAAAGAGACGGTATCACTGGCCTCGCCTTGTCAAATGCTACCCGCCCGCAGCCAGGAGCGAGCTTTTCCGAGGTGCGTATGCAATGGCATTCCGGGAAGCGAGGCAGGCAGGGGGGCAGGCGCATCCAGCCAGCTAGTCTGGCTCTGTGTCAGCGCGGCTGGGAGGTTACATTTACGCATGTCTGGCGAGCACTTTGAGACCCCTGCGTGAAGCATTCTGCTGAAGCAAAACGTGCCGGTATCTGTGGCAAACAACAACGGGTGTCTGGAGACGGATTCTGACAGGATGGAACTTGGCTTACAAAGGAAAGACCTCTCATCTTTATTTCAAAATGCAGATTGAACATTGCAGGTTAAACATGCTCCACAGTTATCCGCCAAGTGCTAGACTTCCCAGACTGACCGCTGGCAGAGCCAAGGCGAGGGAATACTGTCACGGAGCAGGCGACACCTGCGGCTAGGACCCGCACGCCTTTGGGTAGAACACTGTAAGTGGTGGATCCTGATCCACTGTCACCATTCTGTGCCCCTGAATTTACCGCCGCTCTGGCTGATGGGGCTGCGATTGTTCTGACAGGCGGCTACTGGAGCACACTCAGCGACAGCTCCTCACTGGTCCATTACTGAAGACGTTGTTCTGGATCTAGGATCCAGCTCCTCAAAATCCAAACACTGATACAAATACTGGTACAAAGCAGCTTCCCTAGCTAAATTCATTTGTGACAAGACTCCCCTGGGCTTTAGTAGAATTACACCAAGAATGAATCTGCCCGACGGTAACTGCCTGGCAGTGTATTGGTAGTTGGCTGACACCAATAATGTGAGATTGGTTAGCAGCCCCTCCCCACACTGACCCCTCATCAGCGGTCCATGCTCTTGGATAAGACTGGCTGCTTTAATAGAATTTTGCACCATATTCCTTCTAGCAAGATGGCAGTGGTGTGGCTTTCCCCCAGAACACCCCACTCTGGGTCCAGCACGAAGCTCACAACGATCCCTGCACACTTTCTGAGATGTGGCTGGTTTGTCCTCGCCAAACAGACGCCGCGCAGAGTGGAACTCTCGGAGAACTGGGATGGGTTTGGAGAACTTGTCCATGAAGAGAGGGTTGGTTTGTGGTTCAGCTCCCCCTCCTGTTCTTGGTCCGGCTGTGTTCCATGTTCTCCCCAGTCTGTGTGCTTGGCCCATCCAAAGCTTCTGGGCCTAAAGGAAAAACTCCTCCTCTAAGGGGATATTGAGAACAATCTCTGTGTCCGGCAGGCATCTGAGCAGAGAGAGGAGAGAGCAATCGGGAGAAAGTGAAGCCACAAGCAAAGCAGCAACTCGGCCAATTCAGAGCAAGTGAATCTTTGGAGCGAGGTGGTAGGGAAGAGAAATCCTGGTACAATCAAGGCCAGAAATGCATGAAACTTCTCAGACTCACTGTGCAGCCAAAGCAATAGCTCAAAGGCCTGGACATCCCTTGTCCAATAAATTCTTTGTTATTAGAGGGCGGGAGGTGGGGGAGGGCCAGAGCGCTAGGTCTGCTCATAGAACAGCAGCCTCTCAAAGCCATAGCGGGTTCTTGTGCATGGCACAAGTTCAGCATGAGCCAGCGCCCAGGCAGGCTACGCATCCCGCAGCACCGTTGCCCAGGCAGCATTCTACATTAGCCCTGACTCACCGCAAAGAGCCCCTTCCGGCCATCAAGCAGATTGGCCATCTCCACCCTTCCCATGGGAAGCTCACACATTGTAAATTAAAGCCTGAGCCCTGTTGCCTAGACTGCCGTACAGGTTACCCGAGCCCTGTGCCAAAGGGGCTAGAAACACTGTCTCTCTGCAGACTCAGAGGCCAGCAGTGAGTTTACAAAAACAAAATAGCGTATTTAACTGAGGCTCTCCCTCAGCCCCAACAGACAAACACAGAGGAAAAACGTTTCACGGCAGCAGTGTTCCCTCGAATTTCTTCCATCCATGTGCGGAATAAATTTGTTATGCACATCCAGGCATGAGCAGTTGTGCACCAACAGTAAAACAACACTGCGAGCTGTGGGTGCTCTCCTAATCAGCTAAGTGGTATTTAAATCTCTTCTAGGTGGCCACCCAAGCTTACAGGGAGCTCTGCTTATGAGCTACCTCCACTTGCCAGCAGACAGTGGGAGAAATGCAGCAAGTTGAAATTTGACCACTAGTTTGTGTATCAAATTCTTCATTAATTCTGCTCCCACAACACCTTCAATCCGGGCTGCTGGAACAGCGGGACAAAGCTCAGTGAATTACACTCCATGGCACTCAGACAAGATACATTTTTTAAAAAGAGGGGAAACCGAAGTACAGAGAAATAAATTGCTCGATTTCCAGAAGGCCACAGTGCCCACAGACTTGCCACACTGAGAAATCAGGCCCCTCGTGGCTTGCCAAATATCATACGCAGAGCCCGGACTAGCAGAGTCTTCTGACAACAAGCGATCTTGCCCCTTCCTTGCTGGCAAGGCTGCAGTACCCATTCTGTGCAGGATTTCGGCAAAGTGAGGCAGGGACGGGAGGGGAGGGGAAGAAATGGGTTTTGCTGCTTTGGCCATGCAGCAAACAATGAAACAAAGATGTGTATGGAAAGGGAGGAATCCCCTCCCGCCCCCTGGCATCCCAGAGCTCATGTCCTTCAAAACTCCAGGCCTGGTACAGGTAGGGCTGGACCGAGCCATTCCGGCACCCTGGGCAGACAGTTTAATTGCACCCCGGGTTGGGGGAGGGCGCATGCGCGGCCCCACCCCTGCCTGGCGCGCGGGGGAGGGCGTGCGGAGCTGGCAGTGGCAGGATGCACGTGCCCGACCCAGGCCGGCTACTGCTGCTGGCGTGCAGCCCAGGGCTGCCCAGTGATGGCTGAGCCTGGCTGTGCAGGGCTCCGTGGCTGCGGGGGGAAGGGCACTGCTGGCTGGCTCGTCTGCTCCCCCCAGCCACTGCCACTGGAGCGCATCCCGGGGCCACCCAGGGAGGCTGCACCTGGTCGTGCAGGGCCCCACGGGGAAGGGCCCCATGCGCCCCTTACAACTGCCATCAGGCACCCCCCATAGGCCGGCGCCCCGGGCAGCTGCCCAGCTAGCCCATGCCTTAATCCGGCTCTGGATACAGGGAGGGGAGCCTGAGCATCTCCACCCCGTTCGCTCCTCAGCTCACCCTGGGCTGAACACAACTTTGTTCCTTCAGTGTCTGCAAAGCACTGGGATAAGCTGAGAAAACGAGCATGCCGTGAAGCCGTGTGACAAGCGCTAGGGAGGCCAGTGGGAACTGTCGGATGGATGTCGGTGGAGGACACGGCAGTGACAGTCCTGGCAAAGGCGCCGGCCTGCCAGGGCTCTGTAATCACCAGATGCCTGACTTATGATGCTACAGAAACTTTCCCACTTGGCCTTTCTTCTATTTTGAAACCTTTCCCCAGTCACACGCAGTCGCCCCATCTCCACCATCCGTCAGCACTAATTAATGCTCCTTGTAATCCTTCTGTTCTCTGAAACAATGAAGTTACATTGATAGATCACGAGACTGTTCAACTCTCCCCAACTTCCTGACATCTTGCAAGCTTTTCTGCGGCTACACATTGGGCCTCCACACTTCTGCAGTTAGACCAGGCCAAGCAATAGTCTTGTGGTTGAAACACAGACTTGGAGCCAAGAGCTCTGTTCCTGTTATTGGCTCTGTCACAGACTCATGGCCTGGGCTTATGGAAATCAGGGAGGACCTGGTATTCATACAGTTCATGTCACCAATCTATGTATGCAAAATATGGATAAACTGCAGGTCTAATTTGCCCATGAAACTACCTTATGTGCAAAAATGGGGAAGCTAGAGGTGAAAAATCAGGGTAGTTTGCAGATTATATACACATTCACTTTGCACACACAATTGTTATAAATGCACAGGCACACGGAATACAATTGCACATGCATTTTGTATACACACCTTTTTGAGCCAGACGTGGGCCTGGCTTACACCCTAAGGCTACGTCTCCACTGGCATGATTTTCCGGAAATGCTTTTAATGGAAAAGTTTTCCGTTAAAAGCATTTTCGGAAAAGCGTGTCTAGATTGGCAGGACGCTTTTCCGGAAAAGCACTTTTTACGGAAAAGCGTCTGTGGCCAATCTAGACGCGCTTTTCCGCAAAAAAGCCCCGATCGCCATTTTTGCGATCGGAGTTTTTTTTGCGGAAAACAAATCTCTGCTGTCTACACTGGCCCTTTTGCGCAAAAGTTTTTCAGAAAAAGACTTTTGCCCAAACGGGAGCAGCATAGTGTTTCCGCAAAAGCCCTGACAATCTTACATGAGATCGTCAGTGCTTTTGCGGAAATTCAAGTGGCCAGTGTTGACAGCTGGCAAGTTTTTCCGAAAAAGCGGCTGATTTTCCAGAAAAACTGGCCAAGGAGCTGATAGAGGAGGTATCATCTTTGGAAAATCATGGGAGACAGGAGAGATTCCAGAAGACTGGAAAAGGGCAAATATAGTGCTGATCTATAAAAAGCGAAATAAGAACAACTCAGGAAACTACAGACCAGTTTAACTTCTGTGCCAAGTAATGGAACAAGTAATTAAGGAAATCATCTGCAAACACTTGGAAGGTGATAAGATGATAGGGAACAGCCAGCATGGATTTGTAAAGAACGAATCGGGGATTTAAAAATGGCGGCGCCCGGCAAGATGCAAATGAAGCCCGGGATATTTAAATCCCGGGCTTCATTTGCAACTTCGAATGCCTACATTAGCCACCCTAGTTCGAACTAGGATGGCAGTGTAGACATACCCTAACCGATCAAAGCTGATGGCCAGGTGTAACGTCACTTGGCACTTGTTAATCAAGTTTCTATTTTAAATTGCATTAAGTTTCCTTCAGATATTGTGAAGCTTTGTGTATTTGGTGTGCAATTTGCAGTGTTATCACAGTTGCTCTTTGGACCAACTGCACCCCAGTGGGTATGGGTGTGAGTAGTTTCAGGGTGGGTTAGTGCATCTCTCTTTGGTTTATGTTATGAGCCCACAATCTTTGCCAAACCTTTTTGATTGTTCCCAGCATTTAAAAGCCAGGATTTCCATGAAGGAGCTGGCAGGATTTCCATCGACACACGGAAAGCAATCAGCTAGCAGGGAATTACAGATAAGAAGAAAGCAAAGGGGAGAAATGAGGTTTGGCTTTTTTTGCAGCTCTCCACTCTTAAACATAGTAGGAAAATGGCTGACATCTTTTTCCACCCACTGGTTTTGTTTTTTGGGGAGCATTTACTGTGGTTGATTGGAAAGTCTCTATAAATGAGCACTGCATGCTCTGAAAGAAGTCTTTTGGGATCACCCCAGCTAAGAATACGCTGCATACAGAGAGTCTTTTGGGAAGGCCCGTTGGCCCCTTGGAGCTTTAGTTTTCACAACTGCAAGAAGAGAACAGAGCACTTCCTAACTGTGCATCACAGGAGGCTTGTCAAGCTTTATGAATCCTCACAATACCCTAGTGGGGAAACTGAGGAACAGTAAAGGAAAGTGACTCGCCCAAGGTTGACAATAAATCAAACCAGGGCGAGCTCTTTCTAGTTCCTGCCCCTGTGTTCGGCCATCAGGCCAGGCACCACCATTCCCCAACTGGAGCCAATATTACAATTAGGTTGACATTTTATGCCGAAGGGCATAGTTTACCTTTGACGACTGCGCAACTAGCTGGCTTGAGTCTCCTGATACACGCTACAAAGACATTCTGAGTGGAGATTAGCTCCCCAACGCACCCAGCTGAGAGTGACCTATGAAAGGCCACGCTGAAGCTGGTTTCAGAAGGGCCTGTGGCGCATTCTTCAATTAACTCTATTGCTTAGGACACGGGCACAAGGACCTACTTGGGCCTGCGGAGCAGGACGTCAGCGAAGATCACCTCTCGGGGGTCCCTCACGCTCCAGCGAAGCCTCATAATGCTCGCTCGCAGCTCTGTGATTTCTTCCAGCAGACTGCGAATGATCTGAAAGAAGTCAACCTGTCAGACTTTTCTTTACAAACACACAAAGGGGGCATCCACACGGCAGGGCTCAACTCGAAATCAGCTCCACAAATTGAGCGATGTCAATTGCGTATCTTATTTCGAAATAGGGAGCGTCTACGCAGCACTTATTTCGAAACAGAGCACGCTTCCTCCGACTCCCCTTACTCCTCGCACCACTACGGTTACAGGAGTCAGAGTAAGACGTCCTCCAGCTTGACAGTATTTTGACACTATTTCAAAATAACTGCTTTCTGTGTAGACGTGGACTGTGGTGTTATTTATTATTTATTTATGTACAATATTTTTACCCCACCTTTCTATTTAAAATATTTGAGGCAGCTTACAAAATGTTTTAACGCACAATACAAATATACCTAAACAATTAAAACATGAGACCCCAGAGGGACATAAAACCTGCTAAAAACGTCTCGAGAGGAGGAACACACATGCAGACTTAAACACCAATAAAAAGCATGAGTAAAAAGGGAGGGTTTAGCCTGACGCTGAAGCAATGTTAATGTTGGCACCAGGCAAATATCCCAGGGGAGAGAATTCCACAGCCTGGGAGCAAAAGCTGAGAAGGCCCCGCTCCACGTAGATGTTAATATTATCTCCTTAAGTGGGAGAACACTGAGCGGAGCCTCTCCAGCTGATCTCAATCCCTTGGCAGGTTCATACGGGAGAAGACAGCCCTTCAAATACCCTGGACCCGTTTAGGGCTTTATAGGTTATAACCAAGACCTTAAGTTGTGCCCGGAAACATACAGGAAGCCAGTGCAGCTGCCGGAGCACTGGCATAACGTGCTCCATGTAACAAGTGTTAGTTAGAACTCAAGCAGCCACATTCTGGTCCAGTTGAAGTTTCCGAAGGCTCTTTAGAGGCAGCCCCACATAAAGCGCATTGCAATAATCCAATCGGGATGTAACAAGAGCATGAATCACTGTGGCCAAGTCATGCTTGTTCAGGAAGGGTCTCAGCTGGCAGAGCAGATCAGATGAAGCTGCTCAAAAGCACTCCTGGCCACCGAAGAAATCCAGTTCTCAAATGTTAAATGGTACAGGAGGACTCCTAAGCTGCGTACCTGTTCTTTCAGGGGGAGAGTAACCCTGTCTAGAATAGGTACCACGCCACTTTCCCAAACAGATGGCCTCCTGATCCACAGGACCTCAGTCTTATCTGGATTCAGCTTCAGCTTGTTTGACTTCATCCAAACCATCACCGCCTCAGATCAGTCACCACCACACCTGGTTCTGATGTCACAGGGAAATAGAGTTCTGTGTCATCTGCATATTGATGGCACCGTCCTCCAAAACTCCTTATGACCTCTCCCAGCGGCTTCATGTATGTAGATGTTAAACAGCATAGGGCACAAGATGGAACTTTGCAGGACCCCGTAGCACAATCACCATGGGGTCAAATAGTATCCCCCTAGCTCCACCTTCTGACAGTGTCCCAACAGGTAAGAATGGATCCACTGCAGAACAGTGCCTCCAATACCCAACTCCGCCAGGCGCTCCAGAAGGATACTGTGGTCGATGGTATCAAAAGCCATTGAGAGGTCCAAGAAAATCAACAGGGATGCACTCCCCCGTCTATCTCCCAGCATAGGCCGTCTACCAGGACAGTTTCAATTCCAAAACGCAGCCTAAAGCCAGACTGAAATGGATCTAAATAATGTTTCTTCCAAGAGCGCTTGGAGTTGCAATGCCACCGCCTGCTCGAGTACCTTGCCCAAGAAGGGAATATTAGCAACTGGCTGATAGTTATTCAAATCATGTGGGTCCAGGGAAGGCTTCTTAAGTAGTGGTTTTATCACTGCCTCTTTCAAGGTGGCAGGAACCATACCAGATCTAAAAGACACATGAATAATCCCCTGGACGCAGCCACTCATCCTTTCCCAGCTAGATTTAATGAGCCATGAAGGGCAGGGGTCGAGCGAGCACGTGGTGGGTCGCACTCCTCCAAGCACCTTGTCCACATCCTCAGTCTGCAACATTTGAAACAGTTCCAAAGAGAAACGACTGGGCGGTGCGCTCAACACGTTCTGTGCTTCATGTACTCGCAGCCAAATCCAAATCAGGTTGGATGTGAGCGAACTTATCTGCAAAGTGCTTCGTGAACAGATCACAGTGGGGAGCCAAGAGCTCCTCCGTTTCGTCAGGAGTGCCAGAGTGTAAGAGGCCCAGCATCGCTCAGAATAGTTCTGCTGGGCGGCATTGTGCGGATGCGATACGGGTGGAGAAGTAACTTTTTGTCACTGTCAGCACGGCCACAGAGTAAGCTTGCAATTGAGCTCTAACCCAGAGTCAATCGGACTCAGCTCTAGTTCTCCTCCAGTGGCGTTCTAGCCGTCGCACAGACCGTTTTGCTGCCATCAACTCCCCAGAAAACCAGGGAGCAAACTTGGCTCGACTAGCCCGAAGAGAGCGCCTAGGAACAATCATGTTCCATATATCGACTAGGGCATCAACAGGACCATTTGCCATAACGGCTGAACAATCCCTCAGGGACTTCAGGAAGCCCTCCGATCCATCAGACTCTGAGGGATTTGCCTCTTAATTGGTCCCCCGCCTCTGTGGAGGGGAAGATCAGCAGATAGTCTAAACTTGACCAGGTAGTGATCAGCCCTTGACAAAGGGAGTGTAGCCACATCCCTTATCCCAAGAACTCTATCACCCCTAGTCCAAGAGACCAGATCAAGCGTATGACCAGCAACATGCGTTGGAACAGTTATTTCTTGGGATAGTGTTAGGGTCATCATGGTAGCCATAAAATCTCGGGCTGGACCAGACGGGACAGCCTCAGTGTGACTCTAGTGTTGCAGTGTAAATGTACCCAAAGAGAGCACAAAGGTACTGGGAATTACAAACATCAGAGGAGCTAGAGAAGAATTGCCAGGAGATCTGCTTTGTGAGAATGGAGCCGAGCTGGAGCATCTCCCACAGTGCAGTGAGCCAGGAATACTTGCTGCCTTCCTCAGCATTCTAGGTATGCCCTAACAGTCCACTGGTTCCATTGGGAACTGAATGGCACAGCCATTGGACTGCAGGATCAGCAACAAAAGGGTTAATACTCACTTGGCCCACACACCTGCTGCTCCATGCTACTTCCTCCCAAACCTACTCACCTTCTTTTGCATTTGGATTTCATCCCTGAGGATCTGATTGTTGACAGCCATCTGCTGCAGCCCGGCCTTATAGAGAAACCCCTTGTCCTGCACAGACAGAGAAAGGAAACCAGCTGAAGTAAAGACCAGACAGTAAATCCCAATATGCATCTGGACCAGAAGAGAAGCAAAAAATAGGCAGGGAAAGCCATAGCAATCACAAACATGAGTGTTTTCCATGGCTGTCTTGGAACGAATAGGCTCAGCAGAACGGGCTCCCAGCTTCCGTGGGAGGAAAAAGGGATGCTGTCTCTCAGGGTTTGGCTGTTCGAAACCCTGTAGATTCATAGAATCCTAGGGCTGGAAGAGACCTCAGGAGTCAAGTCCCGCCCCCTGCCCAAGGCAGGACCAATCCCAACTAAACCATCCCAGCCAGGGCTCTGTCAAGCCGAGACTTAAAAACCTCTAGGGATGGAGATTCTGTACTTTACAGCTGACTGGGTATAAATTATTTCTACAATATAACCCACAGCAACAGCTATGAACCCTGCCACTTGCAGAACGCAGGGTTGATGCAGTAGTATTTGCCGTAAGAGGGGAACTCCTTTAAGGATTGCATGGTGGGACAAATTCTGCGGACCATTCCTCACTACCCAAGGAGATCACATTGTGCTGAATATAGGAGTGAGAGTCAGGAACACTGGTGTTCTAATGCCAGCTGCCGACACAGACTTGCTACAGGCCCTTGCTCACATCACATCACCTCTGTTTACAGATTCATCTGTGAAATGGGAATAATGCTGCTTTTCCACCTTGCCAGGTTGTGGTGAGGGTTCTTTAATGTTTGCACAGAAGTCTTAAGTATTACCTCAAACAGCAGTTATACACCAGAAGTTCCCTATATCTTCTGAAGGGACAATCAGGGCTCATATTTTCAGTGTTGTGTGTATTTGTGTGCTTAGTGTGCTCGTGCAGTTACTGCAAATGTGTGTGGCATCTCAGTAACTGCACACACAAATGACTACTTACACATCTATCTAAATAATAATATTGTTTCAATTTAATTCACTCTAATTGTGCATGCAAATACCCATGCAAAGCTACATTTGCATCATTAGTGCAAAATACAGCTCTTCACCTACAGCTCCCTGCTACTCTGAAGAAAACCTCCTTGTACCATGTCAGTAGTGCACTGCTGCACCTCTGCGTGTCCTCTGTGCCACACTGTGACTGGTGGGCCAAATCTGGAAACCATAGCTCTGTCTGGCAGCTCTCTGAAGTAGTCTATTTGGCAGGGTGCTCCTGTATCTTTCTCTCTGATCTTCCAGCATGCAAGGACAGACACAATCCACTAACCTCCGCAACAGCCTGTAATATCTTCTCCTTCTCATCTTGCACCTTCTTTTCCAGTTGCTGCATTCCTATTTTTGCCAGCTCTTCCATTTCTTCCAGTTCATCCTGAGAATGACAGGGACGGGTGGCAGTGAACCACAGGATTATTAAGCCAGAGACACTGACTGCCTTGATCCCCATCCCTTCTCTTTTCACACAGGAATACCATAGGGTAGGAGAAGTCTCTTTACCTGCTGTTCTTCCTTCAGGTTCCGGACCTTGCGCAGGATAAAGGCTATCTGGACGACTTTCACCGGGAATTCCTTGTCCATGTATGTTCGCAAAACATTGAGCTCTTCCTGGAGCACTTGGATCTTGGTGTTCATGTGATCCATCTGTTGTTTCAGTTCTGATTACAAGGCCAACATAGAAAATTAAGCCACAGAGGCTCCCAAACTCCCTCTCTCCTGAGTCTCTTGTTCAGTGAAGCCAAGGAACCGTTTGTTCTTCTGAAATAGAGCATTCTCTTCACAATGATTAACTAATTGGTCTAGTGGCCAGGGTCAGAAACACAGTAACTGCCAGCCTGAATCAGACCCGTGAGCCATCAAGTCCACTACCTTGTCTCTGAGAGTGGCCAGCACTGAATGTGACGGTCTGCCCCGTGACAGATTTTGCAACTGCATGCAGTAACCCATGTTGTGGTAAGTGTACGATTGCTTTGTGTATTACTGTGGGCCAGGAATCGTGGCAACTCTGGTAGGGAAGGGGGTTGCTTTTGGCTCTCCCAGGAATTAAGAATGGAGGTGAGCGGGATGATTAAGATGAATCACTCCTGTTGTCAAAACTTTCACCTCAGGGGGGCTTGCCCATACTGGTTCAAACTAGATTTTCCAGAGATCAGACAAAGAAGGGGATTTGGGTATGAAAAAAACTTTAAAAACTGACTTGACCCTCTTTCCAAGTGGGGCATAGCCCTTATGGAGTTAGGAAAGCCTCTGACTAACAAGGACATCACAAGACAAATGGATGACCTCTGGAACATTTAATGTGAGTTCAAGTCTATCGATTGGTTTGATGTTTACTCTGTAAATTAGTTCACTCTGCTTGTTTATGAGGAGCTGGATAGTAACTTGTAACTGCAGGCAACATCCTGTTCATAGCGCATGGAGAGAACGCAACGCCAAAGCCCCAGCTGTCTGCGGCCTGGCCTGCTGGGAATACCACAGAGTAAGGCAGGGAGCTGTGCAGCCTTAGAACCACAGTGAGAAGGGAGTGGGACAAAAGTTCCTGGCCAGAGACAGATCATAGCTGAAGTCCTGAGACCTGGTTGGGAATGTTCCAAGTGGACCATGGGAGGGGGAGGGGGAGAGGAGGAGTAGGTTTACAGATGAAACTCTGACAGTCCCCAGACACCAAAACTAACTGATTCTCTTTAGGAACCATATTTGACATTTGCAACAACAATCTGGCATTTGTAACCTAATGCAATGAGGAGTGAAGGACAGTAGGGTTGCATGTACTGCATATTAGCTTGATGTAAACTACCCATTCTTACTCTTCAGGTTCTTTTCCACCATTTTTTCGGTTTCCTGGAGTTCGGCTCTTGCTATGCCAACTTGATTCTGACTGGAGTCCCGAACGGTCGAGATGACTGTCTGTGGAGAGGGAGATACAGTCACTGACTGCTGTATGTTATTGGCCGGCTGTGAAGTGTCTAGCTGCAGGCCTCCTAATGCACCTCTCACCATGGTATTTATTGATCTCACTAATGGCCTGATGGTGTGAACTCCATGGTGCCATGGCAGCACAGCTGCAAGCACAGGAGAGCTGCTCTTGGGAGCGACTCTGTGTTTCCCACCTCATGAGCCAGTTGAGTTCACGCACTGCATGGAGGGGACATGTTCAAGCTACTAGGAGAGGGTGACAGTTGTCACTTGCTACACTATCACTTCCTCATCAGAACATCTTGCAGCTGCATTGCTTCTGGGCATGGCTGGTGGCTGCTCCACACATTCCAGGGCCACATCTGCATTAGAAGGGATACTTAAAGAGGAGGCAGCAGGATGTAGGTGGCTGGAGCATCTTTGGCTGCTGTGGGGCAGAGCCCAGAGGTATACAAACTGTGTAAAAGAGCCTGCTGCAGAGGCACTTCGGGGCCAGGACTGTCCCCTCTTACCACTAGTGACGTTAGATATTGGGTAATTGAATAGTGTGTAACTGCACGAATTCTTATCAGTCACACAACTATTTGATAGTCCCCATGGGTGTGGCTGGCAGCCAGTGCGCTCTGGCCCCACTCCCGTGGAGCCCCCTGGCACTCTACACTGCTGTATAGAGGCAGCAGCACAGGGTGCCAGATGGGAGCTGGTCTGCGAGGGGAGCCAGTGCAAACCAGCTCACTGTGCAAACCAGCTGTCTGCTACCCCATGCTGCTGTCTCTGATACAGAGGCAGCAGCCCGGAGTGGCAGGTGAGCTCTCCATGAACAGAGGCTGCTCTGGGGGAGGTGAAGCAGCCTCCCCTGCCCCCCGCTCTGCTGACAGAGGCAGCAGAGAGTGGAGGCAGATGGCACCACAGAGCTGGTGCTGGGGGGGAACCCGCTTTTAAGCACCAGCTCCTGCTTCCCCCTCTGATACAGAGGCAGCAAGGTGTGTGTGGGGGGAAATGCATGTGGTTAATCATTTAGTTGACTACACGTTGACATCCCAGTCACAGCTCCAGCTGTGTAGTTACCACCCAAGAGTTTGAAACTACTCAGGTGAGATTAGAAGGAGCTGGGATTCCATAGGGATTCTGCTCATCTGACAACACTGGCCACACTTGAGCCTCACCCCAAACATCTCGTACTGCTGCAGCAGGTCCCTGGCATGCTTGGCAGTAGTGGCGTCTGTCTCCTGAATGTCCTGGGCCAGCTTCCTGTTGCTCTCTACAAGGGTGGCGCTGTGATGCTTCAGCTCATCTAGGGACTTTCTCTTTGATTTGGTAAGTTTCTGAAAGAATTTATGAATGAAAGATTTACAAATGCGTTCCCCCTGCCATCCCAGTGACATTCCTGTTCACTGGTAAACAATACTGACCTTGAGTTATCTCGGCACCATAAACCCACCCCATAAAACCAAAACTTTTGGCTACATCACTCCAATTCCCACATTACATCCCTGCATCCACCTTCCTCGCTGGCCTGATTCTCCATTGCTTAGCACCTTGTGGAATCATCTGCAAGAGCACAAGGGACGTGTAAAACTGGCGCACATCTCCAATCCGAACAGCAGCATCTGACATCCACTTTGCATGAGGGTAAGGGAGATTATCAGTCCACTAGGCTTTTTTTCTGTCTTGGGACAAACCTGAATAACGATGTGAGTTGCGCCAGCCACCCTATAAATCACAGCCCTGCACATTTGCTTCACGTACTTTAATAATTTTGATGTTCTCTGCGCTTTTAGTTAGCTCAGTCTCCTTTGCTGAGGTTTTCTGTTGAACAAATCTGGTATTCAGAGAGGATGCTGTCTTCAAAGGCAAGGATGAACTGGGACTGAATGTAACTGGTAAAAGAGAAAATGCTCTGCACTTATTGTCCTATTCAGATTTAATACAGGACAGAAATTGAACACACTTGCCATGGGTTCAAGAAAGAACTAGATAAATTCACGGAGGCTAGGTCCATCAATGGCTATTAGCCGGGATGGGCAGGAATTGTGTCCCTAGCCTATGTTTCCCAGAGGAGGAGACAGGAGAGGGATCACTTAATGATTCTCTGCTCTGTTCACGCCTTCTGGGGCGCTTGGCATTGGCCACTGTTGGCAGACAGGATACTGGGCTAAATGGACCTTTGGTCTGACCCAGTCTGGCTGCTCTTATGTTCATGTGTGTGGCTGAGGGACATTTAGGAATGCCAGCCCCTTATAATTACTGCAGCTCCTGGGGACGTAAATACAAGAAACGCTGAATGTGAGCAGCTCACTGGTCTCCAGACCTGGCATCTTTATTCTCAGCCTTCCCCAGCAAGAGACACTGCAGAGAACAGTGACACTTTACTGGCTTTGGGGGGGACTCCCAGCTCCTCTGTGCCCAAGGTCTCCCAGCAGGAAGCACTGCTGAGATGGCAGGAAGGGGCACTGGTGGACAGTGACACACTATACAGAACAGAAATAGAGTCTCTGCCTACCTGACTGTTTTTTTTTCGGCCAGCTAGCGGTGCTCCCTTCGCTTTTCCGGTCCTCACTCGGCGATGTGATTGGTGGCAAAGCAGGTTTCTTCTTTTTTGCTTCTACCCTCTGCCATTTGCTGTAATCCTAAACTCAGCAAAAGGCAAAAACAAGATGCTGGTGTCGTAGATCAATGGGCAGTCTTCATTACAATTCTAACGTCCCCATCCTATTGCTTAAGGGCGTCTAGGAAACTGTCCATGGTGCCAGAGAGCTGAGCACACTTGGACAATGCTTGCTTCTGGCCTTCTACGAGTGATGGTTTGCTAGCAAGTCTGATAGAGCTAGTCAAACATGCGCTTACATCACGCCGCAGGTATCCACTTCCCAGCCCCTCACTTCTTTCACCACAGGAAGCATGAGGAGAGGCTCTAGATAGTGTCTATCTCTGCACTTCTAAAGCCCACTTCACCGTGGTATCCATTCCTGCACCAGGCCCCAGAGGAGTTCAGTTAAAGTGCCATTAGGGTAACTTACTACTGCTCCGCATTTATCAGTTGTGTTTTGGGCCAGGGAGTTCAGGACATTTGCAAACATCTCTGGGGGCGGCTCTGGAAGAAACATGGGAGACACTAGCCAGGTAGCCGACCCACAGGGAGTTTATAATTACTGCAGACCCAGGGAAGTAACTCCAGGTATTGGGGCGCTGAATGTGAGCAGCTCGCGGGTCTCCAGGCCCCGCATATTTTCCCCAGCAGGAGTCACTCCGAGAATGGTGACACTGAATTGGCTTTGGGGAAACTCCCAGGCCCAGGGAGCCAGCCACCCTCCCCCACAGCCTCCCCC